CTGAACTAAAAATTTATACTTTGAGTTCTACTACTGTTTCACCCCAATTTGGCTCCACTGCTCCAGATTAAATGGTTACAAATTATGTTAGAGATTTACACATTATCTGTTCGATAAAATTCTCCATCCATCCGCATCAGGTAAACGCAACCCTTTCTGCAATTTTTGTCGGTTATATTTGTACAGACTGTTTGATAAACTACATAAATTGTTGTTTCTCTGTAAAAGTTATTAGATATATTGTATTAAACGGTTAGGATGCATTTAATCCTGACCGTCCATGGGTTATCTGTTTTCTATATATAGGACTACTTGTAATACCTTTGCATGATATAAAGTTTTCATTTTCCTTTCTCTGTTTCGAGCTTCTTGATTTGTCAACATGGTATCAGAGCTCACCAGGTAATTTTTTTTCCGACCTATCGTCTTCCTATGGCTTCTCAAGAAAACTCGTATACTTCCTCCAATTTCTCAACCTACCGCCGACATCTCCATCCCGGCGTCCTTAAAATTTCTGATGTCGAATGTCAAAACAGTTTTGAATACCTCTCTTACCACCGACAACTATCCTATATGGCGTTCTCAAATCACAAAACTCTTTTCTGCCAATAACTTCTTTGGTTATCTTGATGGATCTATTCCTAAACCTCCTAAACAAAGCCTAAATTCCGACAATGTCGTCATCAGCAACCCTCAGTACACTTCTTGGCATCTTATCGACCAAAATCTGGCATTTGCCCTGTTTTCGACTATTTCTTCCTCTATCTTACCGTATGTTCTCAATCTTGATTCTTGCGTGGACATCTGGTTTACATTAGAACGACGACTTCAATCGGCGAATATATCTCGTATTATGCAACTTAAAAACGAACTTCATCAACTCCATATGAAGGATTGCTCAATGGTTCAATACCTCTCAGAAATCAAACAGCGTGTCGATGCTATTTCAGCTGCCGGATCAACCATCGAACCTGAAGATATCATCCTATACACACTTAACGGTCTTCCGTATTCATACAATGCCTTCAAGACCTCAATTCGGACAAAACTGCATCCGATTAGTCTTGATGATTTGTACGCCTTGTTATGCAGTGAAGAGACAAATTTAGCAGTTGACGCTCGTCCCGACAATACTGATCAAACTGCTACAGACAATTCGTTTGCTCTTACGGCTTTTCGAGGCCGTGGTCGCGGACGATCGCGAGGTCGTTCTTCAAATCAACGCGGGATGCGTTCTCAAAATTCGACACCCAGAGGTACTCGTCGTAACTCCACGCCGGTGGACTGTCAGATCTGTGGAAAATTTGGCCATTCTGCAGCTCACTGTTGGCATCGTACAAATCTTGAATACCAACCTGGACCTACTCAAGCTTTCTTGGCACATGAAGATCCACCGCCGGCGGAATGGTTTCTTGATTCCGGGGCCAGCTCTCATCTAACTTCAGACATATCTCAGGTTCAATCTGTGCAACCATATACAGGTAATGCGCAAGTGCAAGTGGGAAATGGAAATCAACTTCCCATTGCTCATTCGGGTCAAGGCATTTTGCCTACACCCGCTCGTAAGTTTCAACTTAAACATCTTCTTCATGTTCCGCATTTGTCGCACAATTTAATCTCTGTTAATCGTCTTATTCATGACAACAAATGTTATATTATCTTTGATAATGACGGTTTTCTTATTAAGGATTCACAGACACATCAAATTCTTCATCGGGGTACCAGTCGGCAAGGCCTGTATCCTATTGATCTCACGTCGGCAACTTCGTCTAAATCGGCTTGTACAACTTTGATGGCTGCTTCTACAAAATACATCTCTATGGAACCAACGACTGGGACATCCGGCGGCTTCTCTACTTCATGCTATAGATATACCTGTTACTGTTTCAACTCATAAATTCAATTGTGATTCCTGTTCTCGTGCGAAAATGCACCGGTTACCATTTGCTTCTAATATTTCTAGAACTACTGCTTGTTTTCAAATTTTACATACTGATTTGTGGGGTCCTTCTCCAGTAGATTCTTGTCAAGATTTTAGATATTACATGCTGTTTGTTGATGATTTTACCCGTTATTCTTGGATTTTTCTGCTTAAACGAAAATCTGAAGCTCTGCAAACGTTTCTTTATTTCAAGAAGCTTGTTGAAAATCAATTTCAAACAACGATTAAAGCTTTACAATCTGATAGAGGTGGAGAATATCTAAATAAATCTTTTCAACAGTGTTTAAAAACTTTTTGGCATTGCTCACAGGTTTACATGTCCGTATACTCCCCAAAAAAATGGTATCGCTGAACGAAAACATAGACATTTAATTGAAACTATGCGTGCTCTTTTATTTTCTGCAAATTTACCTCATAAATTTTGGGTTGATACTTTGTCTACTGCTGTTTATCTTATAAATCGTTTGCCCATCAACTCTCAGTATAAATTTTCTCCTTATCAATGCCTGTTTAAACGTCCACCTGAGTACAATCATCTGCGAGTTTTTGGCAGTCTCTGCTATCCTTGGTTACCTCCGGTTTATCGAAACAAATTTCAGCCTCGTTCCATTGCTTGCGTCTTTCTTGGCTATGCTGATAACACCTCTGGTTACAAATGCCTTGATCCTCTCACCAATCACATATATTTATCTCGGCATGTTAAATTTGTTGAAACAGAATTTCCTTTCAGATCTACTGCTACTTCGAATTCTATTTGTTCCACTCAATCTCAGTTGTCTTCACCTTCTTTTATTCCACCTCTCATTTTAGTTCCTACCACGGCTACATCTCCTATTACAACTAATGGTTCTGATGCTACTTCTGATCCAGCACCTTCAATTCAGCAAATTCAACCAGACATTATTTCTACACCACCTCCTGCTTCATACTCGCCTCCTATAAATCAATCAAATACCTCTGTTCAAACCAACTCATCATTGGTTCCTGTTAAACGTCATCCTATGATTACTCGCAAGCAAACTGGATCTCTTAAACCGGCAAGGATTTTTGATCTGCAAACTGACATCATACTCCTTTCTCCCACTTCTTTTACCGAAGCTAATAAATTTGCTGTTTGGCGTGAGGCTATGTCTACCGAATTCCAAGATTTACAAATGCAGGGCACGTGGTCTTTGGTTCCTCATTCTAATGATCAAAATGTGTTAGGATGTAAATGGTTGTTCAAAACCAAATTTAATTCTAATGGCACCATTGCTCGTCATAAAGCTCGTTTAGTTGCTCAAGGGTTTAAACAAGAATATGGTTTTGATTATACGGATACGTTTAGTCCGGTAGCTAAATTTCCTACCAATAGATTACTTCTTATTGTTGCTGTTACTAAACAATGGCCGGTTTATCATTTAGATGTTTGTAACGCCTTTTTACATGGCACTTTATCTGATCAAGTTTTTATGAAACAACCACCGGGTTTCATTGATCCGCAATACCCCAACCATGTGTGTCGGCTTCATAAAGCCATTTATGGTTTAAAACAGTCGCCAACCCAGTGGTTCTCCACTCTGTCCGATACATTAGTTAAATACGGCTTTCAAGCAAGCAAAACGGATCCCTCACTTTTAATTTTTCACAAAGAATCTATTTCTATGTATTTACTTATTTATGTTGATGATTTGCTCCTCACAAGTAACAATGCTCATGAAATTCAATGTTTACTTAGCACATTGCATACTGTTTTCAATTTAAGGAATTTAGGTCCTGTCACTTATTTTTTAGACATAGAAATTGTCTCCAAATCTACAGGTATGTTTTTATCTCAAAGAAAATACATTCAGGATTTGTTAAACAAAAATGGTATGTCCCAATGCAAACCGGTTACTAGTCCTTTACCGTCAAAACTGCCTATTATTTCTGAAAAATCCGAACTTTTCGATAAACCCACTGATTACAAACTATTGGTTGGCTCTTTACAGTACATTACTATTACTCGCCCCGACATTATGTTTGCAGTCAATTACTTATGTCAGCAAATGCACAAGCCGTATCAGGTTCATCACCAGCTTCTCAAATGAGTCTTTCGCTATCTCAAAGGCACGGCAGAATTCTCACTGCCCATTCGTCCATCTACATTTCAACTACAAGCTTTCGCCGATTCTGATTGGGCTGCTAATCCCAATGATTGACGTTCAATCTCTGGCTTTTGTGAATTTTTGGGTGATAATCTTCTTTCTTGGTCCGTTAAGAAGCAACCTATGGTTGCTCGCTCCTCGACGGAAGCCGAGTATAGAGCTCTTGCTTCTACAGCTAGTGACATCATGTGGCTCCGAAGGTTGTTATTAGATTTTCAAATTCCATGCACGACGGCAACACCTCTATATTGCGACAATGTTTCAGCTTTGGCTCTTGCAAATAACCCAGTCTTTCATGCCCGAACAAAACAAATTGAGGTGGACTATCATTTTATTCGGGATTGCATCAAGAATGGGCATATCACAGTTCATCACATCGCGTCTATAGATCAGCCTGCGGACGTGTTTACCAAGGCTTTATCTGCATCCAGATTTTCATTTCTTAGAAACAAGCTAACCATACATGGTTAACTTGAGGGGGATATTAGATATATTGTATTAAACGGTTAGGATGCATTTAATCCTGACCGTCCATGGGTTATCTGTTTTCTATATATAGGACTACTTGTAATACCTTTGCATGATATAAAGTTTTCATTTTCCTTTCTCTGTTTCGAGCTTCTTGATTTGTCAACAAAAGTTACTAGTTTTGGCCAATTTACCTTGACAGGCATGATAAAATAATCGCAATTCATATAATCGATTGAAATGTGAAGAAATGAGTATTTTATATGCACTGTTAAAAAAAAACAGAAAATCTTTAGGAATGCCCATTACATGAACACACTCTTTCTCGCCTGTTGCACTCATTATAAGAGCAGCAGCCTAAATGGAAAACAAAAGAGGTTTTACAAACACCAAGCTGTACAGAAATCATCAACAACCCAAATTCCAAAGTGAATGAATAAATTGTGGAAGGAAAACTTCAAAAGTTTTTTTTTTTTTTTTTTTTTTTTTTTTTTTTTTTTTTTATCTTCGCTGGAAGTTGAAAACTTTGATTGAAAATGCAAAGACGAAGGCGAAGAGCACAGCAAAGCAGGTTATGGCTGCGGCTATCGCTCCCAAGAAGTCGTGTCTGAACCCGAAGTATCTCCTCAAAAACTCCTGGACAGTTTCACCTGTTTCGATAGTGGTTGTATAGTCACCAAACTGTGAAGCAACCAATCCATACAAAGTCCATGCAACCGGGCATGCCCATGAATACCATCTCCACCACACAGGAATCCTCTGTAAGTTGCCAGAAATAGTTTTAGTGCTTATTGCTGAAGGTCAAATGTTACATAATTAAAAAACAAGGCTTTTCTTATTTTGAGATTGAAGTAAACTTACCGGCCGAGGAATTAGATAGCCTGCGAAGATGTTCCATATTGCATAGAATGCAGTGGAGACTATGGCAGCAATGTCGCTGTTCGGTGTCATGGCCACTGCCATCATGCCATAGAATGTAAAGTACATGAAGGTCATGAACATGAAGAACGTGTACCAAAAGAACTTCACTAATGTCCAGTCGAAAGAAATGCAGCTGTAGACAATTAGACCATAAATCATGGTCTGAAGAAAGATGTGTGGGATCTCAATGAGGACCTGCCAGAGGATAAGGTGAGAGGTTCATGAATACTGCAATCTGAACTATCAAAGTTGCATTGCCTTTATTTAATGTGAAATCAATGAACATACCTGCGCAAATGCATAAGGAAGTGCAGAATACATTCCAGCTGCCTTCTCCCTATAGAATACTGTTCTTTCAACATCGACAATGGGCTGCACTGTTTGACCATTCTGTATTCCAATGAATAGAACAGCTGCATACATGGAGCCCAAAGAGTTGAACAGGTCTTGTTGCGTACTCCTGCAGCATATAATCGTAGAGTTTATTTATTTACTTTATTTTATTTTGTTTTCTGTTCAAATTTATTCAAGAAAGCAGGGGCAAAAGTAGTATGTCAACTTACACTTTTCTACCAAGTTTCCAGAAAATTGTTCCAAAAATTAATGCAATAATGGTAGTGAAGAAGATTCGTGTGGCTGTATAAGAGGGGTTGCGCCAGTATGACATGTGCTGCTTCCATAGGCAAGCTTTGCACTGAGTTAAGAATGATTGCGAGTATTTGGTTGGAAAGAAAAGATCTTTTGAGCCAGGAGGGGGAGCGCTTAGTTCATTGATCAGAGCTTTGTTTCTTCTGCATAGAGTAAATGCTTTAAGTTAACCTAAAGCTGCTTAAAGGATTTGAGACTATGACTTAGTTTGGGATAATTTTTTGTTGATTTCTAAAACAGTTTTTTATTCATCAAATTTTTGTACTAAAAAGCTGTTTTAGAAAACAACAAAAAAGCTGTCCCAAATGAACCCTGTATGGTTGGTGAACGTACCCGTAGAGGTCAGAGTTTTTGTAGATCTCAGCAAAGTTAACACCTAGAATGCCCTCTTGTGCCTGGGTTGTTACCTCTAGCATCCATGTTGCTGGGTTATAGCCATCTTTGATTGGCATAACTCCTTCTACTTCCTGAATAATAAGGTAGAAAGTGAGATTTTGATAACATTTTATGAACATTTCTCTCTGATAGGATTTGTTTTTTTTTTTTT